CCCTGCTTTATTGTCGTTAACAATAAACACACGTAATATGCTTGAAAATAAGGCACAAACAGTGTCCGTTAGAATGGCTGAGAAATCTTTAGATAATTAAATAGCAGATTTTTACTAGAAAGCTAGCAGGCTTGTGCTAGCAGTTTAAAGAAAATAAAACTCACCTTCATATCTGTGAATGTATAAAGAGGCGAACATCTTAAAACCTTTCTTTGCCTTACTTGTTGGGGTTTCGGATCGATGTACATTATTAATTTACCTTGGAAAAACATTTCAGCCGTGTTTCCCGAACGTGTAAGCTGAGGTGCAAAGAGCCCATTAAACTTCTCCAACTCCGGTCCAACAGAGCCTTCTTGCTCCAAAGCGTGGTTCGGATTTGCAACTCCAAAATCCAAGCAAAATGTTGAGCGTAGTCCAGTTCTGTGGCTCCAAAAAGCAAGCAAAAAGTTCAGGAAAACTTTGCAGCTCCAGCTGTCGCCGGCTGACTGTTATTACGTAGCGTCGATCTGTTTTCTCATTGATGGAGTACCACTGCCTCCTGCTGTCGCAATACTGGTATTGCACTAGCAGTACCAGTATTTCTCCACAAGGTGCCAGTGGTACTCCATCAACACTGACCCCAGTGTGTTCTTACTTCGCTGTGTCATAAGTTTTGCTGAATGACTTTGTTTGTATTATTTCTAGCAAAAATGAATGAATGTTTGTACTTTAACCCACAAAATAAACTTATATATATATAAAATGTTATAATAATGTATATTTAAATAATTAATAACAACATAACCTATGGGCTGCTGTTTTCTAGGGGCGCTATAGAGAAATTAGGCCACGCCCTACAAATATTGTGATGGATTCCAGTCGGGGAGTGGATAAATATTCATCCTTGTGAGTTTGCAGCAGCTGAGCCCGAAAATGTGGTATTGAGAGCCAAACGTATGGCGATGGCGTTACAGGTAACTTCGCCACGCGCCATGCCCACCTGCTCTATCGTAGCTGGTCGGGGTTGGAATCCTCAATACACCAACATGTCTTCGGTGTCTGGGCACAGTTTCATGTTGATGAGGTCAAAGGGTCGGATAGCGAACGTTCACAGTAAAACATTACACTTCCTGTTCTCAGGGGGCGTGGCCTAAGTGATGTCATCATTCGACCATAGGGTAATGTAGGAGACCCGATGATGATCAATCACAGAAACTTTGGTGCCTCTGTGAGTTTCTGTGTAGGAGATATAGCAGTTTATGTTTTTATGGCGAGTAGGTGAACTTTGACCCCTAACCCCCCTTCAGCATACTCAAAAACTCACCGTTTAGATAACTTTATATGAGACATGCCTTATGAACAGACTGACCGAGTTTGAAGCCGATCAATCGAAATCCCTAGGAGGAGATAGATCAAATATGAAGGCTGTAAACGGCAAGAATGGGGTCAAAAACCGAACTTGAATCCAAAATGGCTGACTTCCTGTGGGGTTTAGACCATGGCTCCAAGAGACTTTTTTGTACGTCCTGACAAGGTACACATGTGTACAAAGTTTCGTATTTGTAGGTTAAAGCATGGCTTGGGGCTGATCATTTAAAGTTTTCTAGGGGGCGCTATAGAGAAATTAGGCTACGCCCACCAAATATTGTGATGGATTCCTGTGGGGAGTGGATGAGGGTCCATCCTTATGAGTTTGCAGCAGCTGGGCCCGAAAATGTGGAATTGAGAGCCAAACGTATGGCGATGGCGTTACAGGTGACTTCGCCACGCCACCACGCCCACCTGCTCCATCGAAGCTGGTCGGGGTTAGAATCCTCAATACACCAACATGTTTTCTGTGTCTGGGCACAGTTTCATGTTGATGAGGTCAAAGGGGTCAGATAGCGACAGTTCACAGTAAAACATTACACTTCCTGTTCTCAGGGGGCGTGGCCTAAGTGATGTCATCATTCGACCATAGGGTATTGTAGAAGACCCGATGATGATCAATCACAGAAACTTTGATGCTTCTGTGAGTTTCAGTGTAAGAGATATAGCAGTTTATTTTTTTATGGCGAGTAGGTGAACTTTGACCCCTGCTAACCCCCCTTCAGCATACTCAAAAACTCACCGTTTAGATAACTTTAGATGGGACATGCCTTATGAACAGACTGACCGAGTTTGAAGTCGATCAATCAAAATCCCTAGGAGGAGATAGATCAAATACAAAGGCTGTAAACGGCAAAAATCGGCAAAAATGGGGTCAAAATGGGAACTTCAATCAAAAATGGCTGACTTCCTGTGATACTTGCACTATGACATTAATTGTAAATTTTGAGCGTCTTGGGGAGTTCTACAAGTGTACCAAATTTCATGTGTCTACGATAAAGTAAGTGAATAGCAGAGGGTAAAAAAGGGTGTTTTTCCAATTTCTAGGTGGCGCCGTAGAGACATTTCTGTTGCAATTTTTGCTACGACTTTAAAATACTAAATTTTAAACAGGCTTAAGGCCTCCGCCAAGTTTGGTGAGTTTTTGAATATGATAAAGCCCCCAAAAAAGCCAATTCATTTGGGTGGAAGAATAATAATAATAATAATAATAATAATAAACAATAGGAAAACAATAGGCCTTCGCAGCGCTTAGCTGCTCGGGCCTAATAATAATAATAATAATAAACAATAGGAAAACAATAGGCCTTCGCAGCGCTTAGCTGCTCGGGCCTAAAAAACTTTTTTGTGTGTTTGAGAAGCTCAGAATATTGTAAAGGTAAATAACTAGAAGATCCCTGAATTTTGCCATACTGATAAAACAAAACGTAAGAAAAAACAAAAGCAATTCGAACTTTTTTTTTTTTTTGAGAATTCAAATAATAGCTTAAAAGCAATTATAATTACAGCTTAAATTATTAGGTTATAGAAGCACTTAATACTACACCACATCCGTTTAGCACATATTTACACACAAAAATCTATCTGTTTTGCTTTCTGAATCCCTGAGCCTTGTTGGCCGTTCTTACAGTGAAGTCGACGACTACAGAGTGGAGCTGGGGAAGCACAGTCTGAAGGCCACTGAGGAAGGCTCAGTGGCTCGCAGTGCAGCCAAGATCATTACTCATGAAGACTACAACATCCTGCTCAGTCGGTAACACCAACGCTTTCTAAAACCACTTCTCTTTATGCAGAAGAGTGTGAGGTGTTGCTTAACAGTGAATGCTATTTCATAGGTGATCCAAGCTGTAAAATTTGATGAGGCTACTTTCTTTTCACCTTTTGTACATAAAGGTATTGATTTTCTTTTTTTACAGGAATGACATTGCTTTGATAAAGCTGTCTTCCCCTGTTGCTTTGTCTGATACAATCACACCTGCGTGCCTTCCAGACCGGGACGTCGTCCTCCCACATGGGACCCCTTGTCTTGTCACTGGCTGGGGGCGTCTTTCAAGTGAGTGATTCAAAGAGAAATAAAACACAGTTTTACTATTAGCTAAGCCAAAGGTTGGACAAAAGGTTGGGTGACTGTTTGTCCTGAATTATGCATGAGTACTATGAACAGTCAGCTTGTGGTGATGTTAATTTTGTAGAATAGTACATTTATGGAGATGCAGGTTACTGCACCTTCCAAAACTGTCAATATCAGTTGAGCTTACACATTTACTATGTAGTACAACAAAGGTAGCACTTAACAGTAGGTTGGAATTTCTTCACAAGCAGAAATGTAAAAAGCTTGTATTGCATTTACAAGCTTTTTACCTAAATCTGGTGCTTTCAGAAGGGATACATTTGGCAAGGAGAAGGTTAAAATGAAAATATATCCAAATATAAACATATCCATAATCAACACACATAAACAATGGAGATCCACTCAAAGGCAGGAAAAGGACAGCATTAACCAGAAAGGCAGTCAAGTCTGCCATTTTAATTTAGGAGGACTTTCAGACATCTATTGCTAAAATAAAATAAAATAAAATAAAAATCTACCATTTTTAAACATTAAAATTTCAAACCATATTAATATTTTTGGAAGGCACTGAAAACAATGTGATTACAGGAGCATCTTATGAATAGTGACATACACTAATTTCTCACTGAAAAAGACTGTACAGAAAAACTGCTTTAATATTGCATGCATAATGATCAATTTAACCAGCACAAATTTATTTTAACTGTAAACAAAAATCCTTTAAGCCTAACGCTGTTTAACCAAAGTTAAAATTTGCACTTTCTTTCACCTGAGACAGCCAATGGTCCTGCATCTGATATTCTTCAGCAGGCTTTCCTGCCTGTAGTCGGCCATGATGTCTGCTCACAGCCCGACTGGTGGAACGTCCTGGCAACTGAGAAAATGGTCTGCGCTGGAGGAGATGGCATCACAGCGGGCTGTAACGTGAGGTTGCATTAGAATTTAACAATCAGTGTATTCCTAAATATACACATATTTTAGGAATTTGTGTTTTTCTGTTTTCATTCACAATAAAGGGAAAAGTGTAACATTTAGCCTTACTTTTTTTAACTGCCAGCTAACACCTAGCTAATCTGCAGGGAGACTCTGGTGGGCCTCTGAATTGCCCGAACCCAGATGGCTCCTGGGACGTCCACGGCGTCGTGAGCTTCGGTTCTGGTGAGGGTTGCAATGTTCTGCAGAAGCCCACGGTCTTCACACAAATCAGCTCGTATGTTTGGTGGATTAAACAAGTGAGTAGCTGTTTATTTCTGCAATTACCTTTGATAAAAATAATAATAATAATAATAATTTATTAAAAATCAAGTAATTTTTTATGTTCTTTTATTTCCTCTGCAGGTAATGAGCACCAACTAAAGATGCTGCTGATAAGAACAGCTAGCAAATGTAAAAGTTGCATCTAGTGAAATTTAAGAACCTTAAAATGTGATATTAAAAAAAATTGTAGCATTGTAGAATTGACCACCAAACCAGATCATGTCTGTGGCTACATTTGGCTTTTCCACAGACCATAAAGGAGATTATTGCAATATTTTGTGAAAAACACCAATAAACTACACCAGGATAATCCTAGATATTAATAAACAAATGCTTCCTCTTTATTTACCATAAATATTCATGAGATAAATGACTTTTCAAACTTCTGGGGAAAAAAAATACATTTGTATAAACACAAACATTTTTTTTTCACTGTACATATAAAATATATAAACTGTAGTCATAAAAAGACAACATTAAATGACAATGACAACACACTCATTATTGTACAAAAAAAGAAAGTGACTCCTACAACCAAATACTTACATTTGATATAAAACAATTTCACAAATTGTGTATAAAATTAATCTTTTTGCTAAACAGATTTTTTTTACAACAAGAAAAGTACATTGCTGAGGTCCAATTATTGAAAACAGTTTCAGCCTTCAAAAACAACAACTGTGAAACACTAGTGTAAAGGGCTTTTTCTTCTGCAAAACAAAAAGAGAAAAAGCAAGTGTGCAATTTCACAAAATGAGTAACATTGACTTTAACTCCAGAGTCACTTTGGCATCTGCTGTTCATTTCTAAAATAAAAAATAAAAAAATGAAGAAGGAGAGTGTACAGCCAGGTCGGCATACTGCTGTAACACAAGTTATATCCCTGAAAAAGAAAAGAAAAGCCTAGAGCCATCTATTTTTATTTGAATCTCTTTCCCTGCATACTTTCAGAATGAAAACAGTCCTGCTGGTCAAGTTGTGGTTGAAGGAATGATGATCAGCAAGCCAGTGAGCAGCTGCTGTTATAGTGTTGCAGCTGCACACTCAAAGAGTCTTTCTGTTTGCCAGTCGAAAAAAAAAAAAAAAAAAAAAAAAAAAAAAACAAGCCCTGAGAAGGAGAGACTATACTGCATGCTTTCACATCTCGCCATGGCCACTGAGTGCAGGCTTTCCACTATTCACCAAGTTCCTGCAAACATCTTCCCGCCTATACATCTCTCAGTACCACGTTGTGTGCAAGACCAGAACAACAACAATGGAGTCACACAATTTATTTAGAAAAGGCTTGAAAGTTCATTCTTGGAGTAAAGATGCTTTTGGTGTGTACAGCTGGAGGGTATTCATTGATGCATTCAAAGTCAGATCTTAACATATTTGTAAAAATATGAGTTACCCGGAAAACTAATGTCCTCCTTTAAATGACGTCTGTTAACTAGTTACCAAACACAACTTTACCACCTACAACACACGCTGAGAGTACAAATAGGTTTCAAACATCAATGATCCCTCGCAACTTCTGCTTTTCTAAAAGACTCACTTTACTTGTGAATGAAACTTGGATTGCACCAAAGTATCCAACATCTATTGTTTTTCTGCCTTATCTAGTTATTACACATGTAAACATATGAGTCCAGAGAGTCAAGCACCACTGGTATAAATGTATATAAAGCTTTGCTTTGATCACAATTGTTTTATCAGAGTGAAAAAATAAATCCACTCAATATTTCCAGTATAGTGATTCAATCTGTAATTAATTGTTTCGAAATCCCCAAAATATTCTATCATAAATGTAGCAGAAGCACATTTAATACCTAATTACTTGTCTCAGTTCTTCACTTTCTAGGATTGATCAATTGGTAATGTTTGACACACAGGTCTAGTTTTCTTATCCATTATTCAACGAAGGGGAAGACCAAAAAACTTTCCTTTCAAGTAGAACAGATGTACATTGGTCTGCATAAACTAAGAAACTGCTGCCTCTCCTAAACTTGCTCATGATTACAGTCCAAGCAATTATAAAGACAGTGTAGATAATTGGAATTGTGACAAGTTGGTCTTGTCATAAACCCAAGTTTGTCTTGCCACCAAGCAAAGTGAGGAGAATGGTAATAAAGTTAAAAGAAGTTCCTAAGGATCACTGTTAGAGAACTAGAGCAACTTGAATTTATTGTGAGATTATATTACCACAGTAAAAGATAATAAAAATTTATAGCTTTTTACACATCTTTAACCAAGGTGCTAAGACCCTGTACAGACTCTTAAACGAGTGGTAGTTCCAAAGTGAGCAAATTAATTTCTATCAAGAGAAAGTCCAAGTTATAAACTGGTACAATCTCCGCCAGAGTTCCAGGGAATGTCAAATCTGGAATCTTATCAAGAATCAAATACTTATGGTCGTCAGAATGTTTTTTTTTTTTCCCTTTTAGAAAAAACTCCAAAGGTATGCCTTACTACTTTTGTTGACATCTTCAAAGACTTCCAGGTAGCAGAGTTTTAGGAATGTTAGGGTCCATGTTTGGTTTAGTACTGAGAGCAATAAAAGGGTCTTTAAACGTGGCATAAATGACCTCTCAAAATAAGTGCATGGATCCATTTTTTTTTTAAATAGAAAAATTCTAAAAGCAGCCTCTCTCCAACATCTCATGAGCTCCACTATACTACCATCGATTCACCTGTAAAATCAGTACAAAGTGAAGGTGGTTTCTAAAGCTGAAAACTGATATGCCACAGTTTGACAAAACTTTGTCACTTAACAGAGTGATCCAGTAAGGTCCATAAAAAAACAACACTTTACAGTCAAGGGCCATGATGACAAATGTGAAAATATAACATTCTTCAGCTCAAAGCAAGAAGCCTCCTTCAGTGGTTGGCTGAACAAAGCACATCCATATCCACAAAGGTTGGCCATGGAAGATACTAGGAACTTCAGTCAATAGCTTTAAACAGCAGGCTGACCTTAAAGTGGAGGCACCTTATCTTCATATTGTGGCGGAGGGGTAAGAGGTTCGATACTCATTCCAGCTGCCGGCTGAGAGCTTCCCGTGTTTTTCATGGGAAGCTTTTCCGACTTAATCCTTCGGATTTTGATGGGGAGGAAATTGCGGTTGTTTTTCCCAGGTCTGTGGCTTGATGTAGAAATAGTAGCGGTGGGAGAGCTACAAGCCGGGGCAGGTTGTGGAATAGTGGAGTTGATGTCGGCAACCTCGTTTTCATACTGGATACCGTCGACCTGGACGAGGTCGTCGTAGGACGGCAGCTGGGAGACGCTTGGACGAAGGTTGCTCTGACGGACAGGGTACTGCCCGCTGCCTACCGCCTCCTCGTAGCTCGGTACCGCATAGCGCTGGGCCCGCTCCTCAGCCCTGCAGAGAAGTAAATGCATAAATTAAAAGGTCATGTGAACCACAAACAGCTCTGGGGGGAAAAAAAATAACCTATTTGGCAAATTTCCAATTTTTTATGCGGTTAAACCAAGACTCATTCAACAGACTCATAAATTAAAGCTGTGCATTAGGCTCCTGAAACTTCACTGATATCAGAAACGTAAATACTTCCAAATGCCTCTCTTCAAGTGATGACAGAAGGCTGTCATGAAATATTAATGGGATAAAAATACTTGAATAAAAATATCATGGCCAAATCCAGTGAAGTAGAAACACACAGAAATTACCAAAATATTTTTAACTTATGTAATGACTTTCTGGGAGTCTTAAAACCACAGTTTTACTTTTCAACAGAATATAAATAAAAACTTTGATAAAGCAATATGACTCTCAAATTATACAAGATGATTGTTTTCGCTCTCATGAATCATTCTCAGGCTGTACAATATCAATAAAATATTTAATTATGATACCACTGCTAAAACCTGTGAAAATGATACAAGTTATTATTAAGCTACATTTCCTCAACCATTTTCATTCTTTATCATTTTATAATGTCAATATTCTCTCTCCATAAGCTTTAGCAAGACAGCTATTAAGTAAAAAGTTAGGAGGTAAAAAAGAAAGAAAAATCCTCAGAATCTTTCTCGTAAGAAGATGACTTTGTGTTCTCTAAAGAGAGTTAAGTCTAACATTTGGTGTTTGTCAACCTGAAAGCAACAAAATGAGGTCAAGCTGCAAGCAGAGTAAACTCACGTTTCTCTCTCCTCCTGCTCTCTCGCCGCTTCTCTCTGGTTTTGGACCTCCTGGCGTCTCTGCTGCTCCCGCTGTTTGTTCCTCATTCCCAGACACAGAGACAGCAGCAGCATAGCCACCCCGGAGCCAGCCAGCACAAAGGCCACAGAGGACGCTTTATTTCTCTTGCCATCGATTCCATCATTCCCCCCTGAACCGCTGCTGCTGTTATTAAAACCTGTGTTCGCGGGCACCACGCTCCACACAATCATCACTACTCCGAGGGCGATCAGGCCGACTCCCAAAGCACACAGAGCATACTGCGAGCCTGAATTCCCATTGTTTTCTCTGTTGCTCATCTGGTTAGTGTTGTTGTTGTTGTTATTGTTGTTGCTGCTGACGGTCGTCACTACTAGTCCAGGGGGGCCGTCCACAGTGGATCGCATTTTGTTTAAATGTCAATACTTCAGTCAGATCAGGTCCAGTGAAGTCAAACACTGTGGAGAGAAAGCCATATTAGCAAGAGAACAAACTGCTAAGTCTAATAAAAAAAATAAATAAATAAAAAAGGACTATAAATCCATATAAAAATACTTATTTTTCTGTCACAGAAAGGCTTACAGTGATGAGAACGCCTAATTCTTGTGTCTCTTAGGTGGCGACTGAAGTTCGACTGCTCTCTATAGTCTCAGCTCAAACGCCTCTACTGCTTAAAAAGGTTTCACAGTCCAGCTTTTCAGAGAACTGAAGGAACATAAAATTCATTGTAGTAAAATAAATCCAAGCCTTTCCCTGAGTCACAGGCGCACTCTGTGGTAAAATATTTACAGCAGCCTCACCTTTCAAAGTCACCTGTGCCACAGTTAGTTACCAATGCTAATAAAAAAAGGGTAGTGGCCGTTGTAAATCTAACGCCTCAAGAAATATTAAGTAGTTGTGTAGTCCACAGGTTTACTGAGTTCTTATCAGCCACTAAATCAAAACTCTGTTATGTGGATATTTTGAATTTATGAGGTTGCATTAGTGGAAGTATTTATTAGCTTTTATACCAAGTAGAATGGTTCTCTGAAATGCAGTAAGCATGTCAGAGGTGTGTACTTGGCTACATACGATGAACATGGTAATGATGACATAGCTAAACCTTTCTATTTTAAAAAATAACCTTGTTACACGAAGTAGGCGAGAAGACGTGATTTACCTGGAATTAGGGAGTGGGAAATATGAATGTGCTGATGATGTTTTGAAGCTCAGATATAATTGAATTATCTTTAAAGCACATTCTGTTTATTGTTGTTCTATGCTGTGCCCTAGACTTTTCTCCTTAGTTCATAAACGACCTTTGATCTAAAAAGAGTGCAATTAATCAGAATTTAATTGTTTTGTAACCTATAAAATTGAAATACAGTTTCTGATTTGGGACACTTCAAAGCCTAATATCTGTAAAGAAATATTTATTGCATTACATGCTCTACTGTGTTAGTGATTTTCATCAAAATCTTATCAGCCACTAAATGTTAGTGATTTTCATCAAAATCACTAACACAGTTTTCTTACTGAAAAGAAACAAGAAAAGATTCTTACAAAAGTATCAAACCAAGGATGTCTTGATTAGATAGTATGATTGCAAATCGGACACAACATAGTAGTTTAAGACTCGATCAGAATCAGGTGTCATGACCAGGGATCAAATATGTACATTTATTCTTAAACTGAATAGGAATGATTACATTCCTATTTCCATTTCATGTTACGCATGTAATGGAAACAACACATGCGTAACACTTTGCAGCAGTGACGGCCGTAAAGCTATAAAAACATGTAATCACTTTGAAATGGAAGCATTGTTGCCGATTTAGTAGAGTTGTCGATGTATTTAAAGACTTTTCTGACCACTCTAGCAACTTTGACAAATCTAGCAACTTTCTTTGATTTATTGGTTAAAACGGGAGGGCACCGATCGTACTGCAGTCACAGTGAGAGCTGCCTTGAGTCTCTCCCATTTCAGAAGCGGTTGCAAGTGGTCAGTTTGCCTCAGCATCCTCGTCATGCAGCAGCCTGCAGTAGAGCAGAGAGGAGGCCTGCTCCATTCCCACATTGTGCAAAGCTGCCAGTGATCCCAATCTGGATTACAGTAAATATTATGCAAATACAGTTTTTTTATGTTACCTAATGTTTTTTTTTTAAAACCTGAACTGTCACAATAAACTAAATCCCTGCATTTCAATCACACGGCATCAGTCTCTGAGTCATCTTCTCCACTGTGTGTGCCTCTGATTAACCTTCTTTTCACTGAATTTGATATTATAAAAATATATTTATTTAGTGTGTATTCAGGAGAAGTATTTACATTACTAAATTAAATGTATTAAATTATTTAATAAATTTGCATATTTCTAAATGTTTTGAGTTTTTTTAATCACTTTGAACTTGCCAGCGTTGATATTTCTGCCTGGATCACACATAAACAACTATGTAACTTACACGTGACATATTGGATCGAGACTTGGTATCGGCTGATACGCAAAATCAAAGGACGTGAAGGCAAAAAAAAAATGAGAGAAGTGATTGGGAGATCCCAAATTCAAACTAATGCTAACCTTTTTGTACGCGCACTTGCATTACAGGCAGAAACCTTAATGTGTACCATGTTGACACTTCGATTTTTAGCCCATGATCTTCCTTCCGACTTGCCATCGACTTTGACGTAGTGAAACTCTGTATTGATGGTTATTTTTCTGTATTACGTTGCAAATAACATTTTGTATGTGGGCCAACTTTTATTTCTGTCTCTGTCATCTGACACGAACGCCAACTTCCACATATTTGTTGTGTGACCTACATGGAATGAGGCAAACTTTAATTGACTAACGTTGCGTTATAAATAGATTCAAACATCTGAATCTCCTCCAGAGTTATTGTGGGTATTCTGGCTGCTTCTCTGATTAATGTTTCCTCGCTATGTCTTGGTAGCTTCACAAGTCTGACATCCATTTTAGATGATGAACTGAGAAGTGTTCAAGCTGCTAGATTTTCTTTCAGAACCTAAACTTGCTTTACTCTTCTCCATAATTTAAGCTGCATCTGTATGAGGCCATTTATGTTAATAGTCTGACAAGTCAGTCACCAAAGATTTTGGAAATCATTTGTTAACATACACTATGCAATTTTTTTTCTTTCCACTTCACCGTTAGAAGCTACATAGTGTTTGTCACACAAATAAATCAAATGCAATGTGATAAAAAGTTGAAAAGTTTCCACCTAGAATTTTTTTTTTTTTTTTTTTTTTTTTTTTCCACAACACCTACCTCTATTTGCAACAGTATGAAATTAATCAGTGCATCTTAAGAATGATCATACATTCTTGCCAGTGGCAAAGTTGGACTTTATATTGAGCATTGTCTACAAACAGGCCTGGGCCTGCTGAAAACAAGGGGGCGGGGGGTATTAAATTAAGGGGATATCCCCAGGCTAAAGAATGCAAGGCATGACCCGGGATAAAGCTCATAAGGAACAGCTGGACAAATACACCTTTCAGCTGTTTTTATGAGGAAAACATACCAACATAGGCATGTTGTGCAATCCAGAGGTACAAAGGAATTTATGTGAGGATGGGACAATTTATGGTACTGTTTCAGTTTATCAAGTCAGCACAGTAAGATATTGACAGACTGGGGGGGGGGACACTCGAGCACAAGAGGAATGTCTGGTGTCATGTGTCAAGACTGTGTCAAATAACTAAGAGAATTGCATTCGGAAGCAAGGCCAAATGTCTTCAACATGTAGTAAACACCGTTAAAAAGTATGTCAAGGGGATTTTTGTTTTTTTTTCTTTGGTTGTTACTAAACCGACACTAGTTGACCAACAGAGCCTCTTCACTAAACAACGCGAGTTTCGACCTCAATAACATAGGGCTGCAATTATACTTTAAACAGGTTTTTATGCATCACAAATGCGACCATTACCTTTATTTTCCCAACATTTGTGCGATACAAATTGATAGGCGGGTAGCTACTTCAAATGGGTACATTGTGAACGCACTCACCTCTGTATCATTTGCCAGTCTTCCTTGTGTTTCTTTCTTTCTCTCTTTTCTTCGTTCTTTCTTTCTTTCTTTCTTACACAAAGCTATAAGCCGCTATGCTGCTCACGTTTAATTTCTAACGAGTTCGGTTGTAAACACCGTTTTCGTTTACGAATAAGGAACTTTCCTCTGAGAAGGATGGGCCCGGGCAGATTTAGAAGCAGGAAGGAGGGGGCTTTCGGCCGCAGCGCACTTCCAGTTTGGTTAACCCGTTCACTCCCGGCCTACTTCACATAGTTAGCTTGGAGCTATACATTTTTTGCATGACAAAATTTTAAACATGTTAATAAAAGCCACATAATTTAGTTTTTTTTATTTATTTATTTATTTATTTATTTATTTATTTATTTATTTTATGAAAGGATATTTTTGAAAAACAATATTTTAGTACTGGCAACACTGACTGCTTGAAAACAATGCCATAATAGCTTCACCATAGCCATGACCTAACATTCAACCCCAAGCAACGTAGAGGTTACTTCTCCACATGTGTGATACTCTGTTTTTTATATATTTCTGTACCTGAGTTACAGTGCCATGCACAAGCCGTTAAGATGCAAATATTCATTGAAATGATGCATTGGTTGTAAGGAATTAAAAAAAAAAAAAGGACAAAGATTGTTTCAGAAAACATGTTTTCATTTGGACATAGCCTAAAATCTTTTGAGTTGATGTGGTCCTAACTTTGATATCATTTGTATCATTTCAGAAATGATACCAACAAATTTGTAAGAGATACTTATTTGGATTAGTCACCCAAACTAGCTCTTGCCCACAGACATACTTCCTGCAACATCTGGTGCAGGTTCTAATTTCCCTTTAGAGCCACTGTGAAGAGTGTCAGGAAAATAAAATTAACATTCAGTGTTTATGATAGTTAATGATGACACAACCAATAATAAAAAATAGAGATACTGTCTCCAAATGCCTAAGAATAGCCTGAGAGGTCAGGCCTACAAGTGTTATTAGGTTAAAATGATGGGTGGTAATCAGTACTTGTCTAAGTAATTTGATTTAAGGTCAATTTGAAGAGATTTTTGTCAGAGCACCACACATCATAGTGTGATGAGACTGTAAACCATATAAAGGCAAAAGAAATGCGGAATATGTTTGATGCAATTTTAGTTTAGGTTTGGAAAATAGAAAAAAAGGATTTTTTCTAAAAAAAAAAATGTCTGAAGTAAAATTTCCTTAATGAATTAAGCCACTTTCGTCATCACAAAGTTAGTCTGTGCAGTATTTCAACCACAAAAAGCTGTTTGCATGCAATTTTTGGTAGGTCAAAATTTTTTCAGGTCTCATGCGTAATAATTGTGCCTACTAATGATATATTTGTCCAGTTAAATTGAGTCTGACAGTTTTTTATGACCATTTCTAAAAGGTTTTAGTGACCATGAATGCCAAAGTTCAAGAAGAGTATTGGGGACATCATAATCAGAAAAGCAATAGCTGGGTGAGGCAGTTTTCTATTATTTGTTGGCTGAATGATTTTACATCTCAGCTTGGAAATGAGAGTATGTATCTTCAAGCCAATGTATAGCAGATGTGTTACAGCAGAGGAGAAATTTCTCATACTTTGTCACATTACCGTGAAGTTTGCTGAACAGAATGATGCAACAATCCTATCACAAATAATGTCTCTGTTATCTCTCTGACCAGGTCATCAAAGGTATTAAAATGTTTCTCAGGCAACAACAATAAAATGTTAACTAGGCTTAGTACAACAACAATATCTTCAAATGTCAGCAGAGTTTTGCAACAGTTTGAAAGTTCACAATGAAATTTCTAGGAAAGTGTAGTTAACCTTTTCCTTTATGCATTTTTACAACAACAATCAACAAAGTCAAACGTCAGCAACACTGAATAATTTAGTACGTCTACATCCAGTAAACCTAGTTTTATCAGTGCTTGACTTTTACTTCCTCTTTGTAAATTTACCACATGCCTACCTAACTGTCATGCCTCAGTTGTTGTCACATGACATGATTTATCTTTCATGTTATGTTTTTGACGTCCATCTGTGTTTTCAAGCTGACTTCTTCAAAATATGCTCTGCTTCGCTTTACACTTCATCTTTCCAATGCCAACAGCTGCATCACCTGCCAGAATGGGGAACAGTCCAGATCTATCGCACTATAATGGCAAAATCATTTCCAGCACTTGCCAAGTTGTTGCATTGTTCCTTTTCAATGAGGCTGCCTTGTTACTCTGGGCTCTGGGGAAGCTTTCTTCCTCTCAGGCATCATCATGGTTCACTCTGTTACACTGCACACGCACAGAGGAAGGTGCAATATGTGTAGAGCCACTGTGAACGAGTCCTGATTAAATCTGTTTGTCTGGATTGATGCTACATCACCGCCAGTTCGTAATCACATTTGATGGCAGCGAAGGAAAACATTACACTTGGATTCAAGCTTGATTTAAATGGCAGAAGCTTCCCATTTAGTTACCTTAAAACTAAATATGTTCAAGTAAATCATTATATCACTTACATAAGAAGGTGGTTAAACAAAATAACTGTTATGTCCATTGGGTTTCTATCTTTTATGAGGTCATAAAGTAATTCGCATCAAATGCCATGAAGTTATTGATATGGTTGTAAAGCTTAATCGAGAATTATGTTTCTTCACTCACTGCTTCACCGTTGGAGCTTCCTCCTTAACTTCCACTGATATTCAAGAGGATATCCATCCACCCAACATGTCTGGGATAAAGGTGGAGTCACTGTGAGTAACAGGAAGAAGTTGCACCATATTAAACTACAAGTTATAAACTATGACTCATCCCACAGAACAGATGAGTAACAATGTAGGTATAAATGGAAAGGTTTGGAGGTTTCATCTTACATCCGAATACGAGCATTGAACCATGCATGCCCTCTATGGCACTGTTTTACTCCTTATTTTATGTTTAATAATTGCTTTTGTCTTGCAGGGCTTTTCCTGATTTGTACATGCAATTTGAAGTGGCCTGTATTGCTCTTGGAAATGTGTGTTAATTCTTTGATATTCACTGCATATCTGTGCTAAAACCTGAAGAAATAGTGGAAATAATAAAGTCTGCCTCTACAAATTGGCCAGAACAAGAGTTGGCTACAATGGAAAAAAAATGAATGGAGGGTAGTGGACAGACATTATAGCATAAGATGTCACACTGATTTTTCAGATCACCTTTATTTCACCAGAAAACATTAATCTCATTGAGATTAAAACTCAATGATATTACAAGAGATGCATGGCCAAACAGCAACACAGGGACAGTTTCATACACAAAAATTTAAACATTAAAGTATACAACAAAGAGTACAATCAGGTTTTAGAAGCATCTGCATCAAAATGTATTACTTTCGAGGCTCTTTAGAAACTAAAAAGTGTTCTGAGAGACCAGCTCTTGGAAATTGAAGACATTCTGATTCCAGGCAAATAGAGCTGCATGTTGATGAGACCACTCCCTCAATTCAACCCAGGTCAATGGGATTTTGAAAGGATAAATGTTCTGTGAGCATAAGGAGTGTTTTGGTTGATATAACTTAGTCTTCTGGTGGACAGAGGAGAGTGATATACCCTCTCATATCAAAACAGTGGCACTTTGAGATTTTAAAACAGTCTCTTAAAGGAAATGTGTAGGCATGCATACAACTTCCCCATAAAACAAAATGGGTGAAAGGTTGCAGAAACAACATTTATTGCAAAATAAAGGCCAGTGTTTGGTCTGAATATGAGTCTTTTGTCAATTAGAATACAAAGATATTTAGCCTAAGAGAAAACCCCAATCGAGCAAGATTATTATAGGTATGCAACTATTAGCTTTGATCTTGAGTTTAAAAATTGAATGTGACTGGATTCAAACCAGATTATAAGTTACCAAGTCAATTTTGCACAGTACTGAAGGCTTTTTGAGTTTGGAGAGGACCACTTCTTGTGTGCTACCAGAAAAACAAATTTATGGATAACATACAGATTAAAAAAAATTGTTGGAGAAAATTTGAGTCACATTATTAATATGGATTATAAAAAACAGTGATCCAAGAATTGGCAATTGAGTGACACCCTCTAAGATGTTAACACTTGTGGAAATAATATAATCTCATTTCATATACTGGGGTCTGTAAATAGCAGTAGAGGGCTCTGGAACTCATCTATAAGATACTCTCTTTAAGATACATCTATAAGATACTTTCTTTATCTTTTACATTGTTGTGAACAATGTGAATGTGAACAAACAACATTGTGAAAGATCTTCAAAGATGTAACACCAGATCAAAAACTAGATAAATAGTGTAGAAGTGTTGAAGGTCTCAATTATTAATTGACAACAGATTTAAAAGCTTTAGCTAAAACAAAAGTTTTGATTTCTTTAACTCAAAACTTAAAGATTTGATTTCTTTAACTCCTCCTGTTTCTTGGTTGTCAAACAATAACAGATGATGGTCCCATTCTGTTTAATCTTCCTTCATCTGAAGGACAATATTACTTAATCCATAACAATGAATGGGAAATGTAGTTTCATCTCATTGTATCTTGAGAAACATCGGCTTTTTTTTTTTTTTGTATTATTTGAAAAATTACTTTCACTGGTCCAGATGCATTTGAATTATGATCTTTATTTTATCACAAGCATTTTTTGTCCTTTCATTTTCAAAACTCTCATTTCATTTTATTACAGCACACATCTTTTGTTGACATTGTAATATTTACTGCATGTGATTGTTCTCCAAAGGAGGTGCTACATTTCTTCAGACATAATGGTGTAATTGTACATAAAAAAAAAAAATATTCATAAAAACTTACAAATTTTATTTAGATCTGTCTCAACTGTCCACCACATTAAGAATGTGTCACAATGGATAGACCAGAAAGAAACAAGAACATTTAACACTTTAATCTTTTTCTATTTTTAATCTTTAAGTAGTCTGTACAATAGAAAGAGTCAATTCTTTGGGTAGAATAATCAGTTTTACTGTCAGTGTTCGTCAACATACACCACCAAGAAACATTAATACACAAAATAGAAAAATAAGTCTGTCAGTTCTCTGACATTAGAGCAAAAAGAAATGACTGTCCAAACAAGCAAATAGCTGCTTGTGCACAATTTACTTAAATCAAGAAAAAAAAAAAAAACTAACAAAAAAAAACATACTCTTTTATTCAAAGTGCAATCTGTCCTTTATATGCAGCAGAGTATTCACTGCATTTTCGGTCGGCTCTATTGCCATCACACGTTTGTGATCTCGATGCTTGAGTATCCTCGGATTGGGCTTCCTTCAGATCTGGAGGGAGTGTGATCTCGAACTTCCCGTGGCAAGGAGCCAAAACTGCTGTGGCAACTCAGGTCCCGCCCACCCCGCTTTTTGGGGCTGAGCCCTATTGGAGGCTGAAACATTGAAACGTCATCACATACAGAGACATATATTTTGATAGTTTACATTACATTTATTGCTTCAGTAATGAACAAAAAATATCTGCAGTTAACTCAAGATGTAAGCTGCGCAACAAAGGTTGAAATTTAGAGAAACTCTTTTGTTTCTGAGATATATGTACCTTCACAGCCCTCCTTCTTAAAGAACCCTCATCAGCCGTGTGTCGGGTGTTAGAGCTCGGTGGTCTGGTCAGAGAGTTCTGCCGCAGGAGCGTAGGTGGTGTTACTGCACCTGAAAGATCATAACTTTGCTGTGTATTTGCTCTACAGGGAAGCAGAAAAAGAAAGAAGGTTAACACAAGTAACATTTGGAGAGGGCATAATTCACCTTTGTGAAGCATTCACAATGACTTGAAAAATTATATCGAATGTCATATTAATGTTTCTTATATAGTAGCTGAGTGGAAAAAACAACCCGTGGGTAATATTTGGTTGAACAAATATTCCTTTTTGACTGGTTTCATATATTTTTGATATTATTAGATCACCGGTCAAGACAGGATGCTCTCTGTAACTCTAACATTGTTCATTTTTTTGCAGCCTGCACATGCTGTACATGAACATTGGCGCCCACCTGGCTGAGCCAATCAGTGCCATCATCTCCTCATCAAGATGCCGCCGGACCATGTGTTTGTTGCTGGGAATTCCCAGTGCTGTAGCCATTGAGTCGGTGTTGAAAGACGGGTCAAGCATCATAACAGCTCCATGAACTCCACTACTGAGGAGGCTGTCAGCGTATTCCTGGTAACCAAGATTAAAAAACAAACCACAACAGACTCTTAATTTTTTTTATTTTTTTTATTTCTGTGTTTATCAACATAAGGAAAAAGCCCTTCCATTGATTCACCTCAATGTAAAATGAAGTCAGTATTATTCATGATAAATAGAAACTTCCAGGTCTTCATACAATGCCAGATCAGACATCCTTATCTGTGACTGGAGTCAGTGTTACAGGAAATGCTTGTCCAGTTTGCGGTCTGTTTCTTATCTCGCTATGATAAAACTACCCTCCTTTATCTAGCCTCATGACGTAACAAATTTTACTTCAATAAGGAAGATCTACCTTCCTTCAAAGTTTTATGGTCTCATTATGGTTTCAAGATAAAAATTACAGGAATTATGCCAAACAAAAAAACAACATCCTTTTAGTAATTCTCTTTTAGATTCCTCAGTTGCAGAGTTCTTATTGCGTTAGACTTAGAGGTGGAGAACTGAGTTGTTGCTACACCAGTGACAGAAGTCTCAGTGTTGATTACAGAAAGTATCTGTTCTTTTTCATGGAGAGTTCCTAAGGGTTGAACACTTGATCCACTTCTTACTGCTCTGTGCCTTCTCTCGTTGAAGTCTATTCTGAGAAAAAATGGGTGCCCAGATTTACCTGGAGATATCAACTCTTTATTAAACTGTGTAGAAGGTACTTTTCTAAGACTCTTTTTACTAAATTGTATTTGGATTCAAAATATGTTGTTTTCATTCAATTCATTTTGATAAGTAATGTGTTTTATGGACTTTACTTCTTTTTTTGTGCTGCCTCACCTTGAGGTCAATATCTTTGATCCATTTCATGACGCGATGAGACGTCCATACCAGCGGATCCTCATTCTGGTGCTCACACTGTGTCCGACGAGCCTGCAGCACCTGGGACATTATTTCATGAAACACATTTTAGCTGATCGCTTCCATTGGCTATCACTTGATAGCTTCCATCACTTGTTTTCTGCCCAAGCACTTTCAAGCAGATTCATCCCCCAAGCTTTCTTTCTTGCTCACCTCTTTGTTGAAGTCGAGCGACTGCAGCAGTTCGATGCCCAGCAACAGGCTGACCTGATGGAACTTCTTGGTGATGTTGAGGTGACGCTCTAAGTCTCGGCGGGTCAGGGAGTTCAGCATCCGCCCGTCCACCAGATGAGTGTGAAAAGCCTGGGAGTACTGAGGCAATCCCACGTCACTTAACCAGGCCTTGGCCACCCAGTGGTGGTCCAACTCTGCGGCCTTTGACAGCCTATGGACAGAAAAGGGTTACTCATGGAGAAAATTGCAATATATGCACCAAAATAGCAATTATTTAATGATGTTACAGTAGAAACGACAGGGTGGGTCACATACACTTATTTATTGGAGTATTGCTAAAATGACAACCACAGCGCTTACAATTTATATCATGGTACACCCCTTTTAATGACATTCTGTGACACCATTAACCAAAGTACTAAGTTTTTCTGGTTGGTATTGAAGGAACAGCTTTTTTCTGTTTCAAGAAAAGAGCTGACAGGCCCTTTTCTGTCAGTCTAGGCCCTCAGTCCTCTTTAGCAGTTAGTTGGACAGGACAGACAATTTTGTTATCAACACTGAAGCTTCCATAATTTGAGCAGAAGCAGAACCAGTGCTGCATCTTCAATCCCAACACAATACCCCGGGCAAGAGATAAGAACACTGAGATCACAGAAACACAACGTCCAGGGCTTGTCTGCCAAGTTTAAATTAAGCAGCAGTAATGCATTTACCTGTCTGGCTGAAATTAAAACCTCAGAAAATGTAGACTGAGGTAATCTGCTTTAGAAAATCTAAATATGCCCAGTACAGATGATTTTAATTTTTAAATTTGGGTCTTATTTTATTCTGGATAATTATCTTAAGCTTGATAAACAGCAGTCAATTTTTTTCCAACTACTACTCATTGATAAAGAAAAGCCTTGTCTCTCTTTTAAGAGACGATTACTCATGCTTTTATCACCACACAGGACGATTGTTTTATATCGAGCTAACTCCATCATCCCTGCAAGTAGCTCTAGTTGGCAAAAAGAAGCATCAACACTAGCTCCAATCTTGAAATCTCTTTATTGACTTCCTATTTGTCATCACGCTGATTTTAGAGTTTTATTGCTCACTAGACCGACTAGCCACATTCTGTCTTCACGATCTTCTGAATATCCACACCTTTAAGTGTCCTCCAGTTACTCAGCCAGTTTCTCCTCAGTGATCTGGGACCAGTTAAAATGTAGAGGTGATTGAACATTTGCTGTGGTGGCCCAACAGTGTGGAATACCTTAAATCTACATGCCCATGTTGCTCACAGTATAGAATCATTACAATGCATTTTAAAAAAACAAATATTTTCCCCTGGCCTTTGCCATCAGAGAAGCTAATTAGTTCTTAGAAACCCTTTATTGTTCTTATTTATTGTATTAAAGTTTTACTCTGTCTTGTACCTTATAGGTAATAGTGAGGGACTTCGGTCATCTATTTAAATGTGCTGCATACCGTAAATAAAGCTGTACTTTATCAATGAATTTTCTTCATTGTTACATATTTTCTGTAAATTTCTATTAATTCTTTGTAGATGTGTTTCTATGTTTTTTTTTTTTATATATGATTGCATATCATAAATTCATGAGATGAACATGTTACCCGGGTGGAAACTAATTGGCTTTTGCGTCTTTCTGCAATATTATTATTTTATTATTTCTTTATAAACATGATCTGTATTTTAATTGTGCAAACAAAACTGAATAAATTTGACATAAACACTATCATGATCATAATAGAAGCTAAAAGAAAGACAGTAGAGACAGATGAGAACTACAAACATCTCGGAGCCATTCTAGATAATAAGTTAAAAGTTATTCTGAGAACTTGTAGTTAACCTGTTTAATTTTCACCTGTTAAATTTTAATCTGTTTGATGTGTTTTTAACTTCATTGCACATGCGCTTTGGGAAAACTCAGAAAAAGGGTGAACAATGATTGTTTTGTCTCTGAAACTTTTATATCTGTAAATTATTGATAGTCTTCTTTTACAGACTACCAACTAAATCTGTGTTGACATTTTCTCTTGTCTGGTAAAAAAAAAAAAAATCTATTAAGTAGAGAAATAAATACAATCTGGGATTTGAGCAGTGCAATCTTGCAGACCTGTTCAACAGACAGAAAATCAGGAAAAATAAAGCCATTATGACCAACTTGAACTGCAAACTTTATGATTCTTTGAATTTATTTCATAAGACAGGTATATTTCTAACATTTTCATGTGATCAAATTCAACCTAGAATGTAAAAAAAAGCTTAATAAAAAAGAAAGCGCTACCAAATATAAGCCTTACAGAAGAATACATCTACAGATTTATGTCAGGCTATTTTATTTTATTGTAATTCTTAATACCTGATATTTCAACCAGCTTAAAAGTGACAGGCAATACTAGTTAAATTAAGAACATTACTATTTTAGTAAATTTTATGTAAAATATCAAATGGGTCTGACCTGCCTCACCCTGAAAAACGATAATTTCCACTAATTTATTTCTTGGCTTTTGAGATGAAAGACTGGTTTTTACTTCAAATGGCCAACAGATGGCCCTCTAAACACACTGTTATGTCTTATAATGAGGCTGTTTTTAGGCTTTCCTCACTCTTTGCCACTCTCAGCCTCTCTGTAATCCTCTATGGCAAGGCGAAGTTTCCGGCGGTGCATCAAACTGTTGACGCCCAAACCCAGCTCCAGGTCTTCATCCGTTAGTCCCAGTAAGACCTGGAAAATGTTAGAACGGACCTGTTACTACAACTCCTGCTTGGAAGCTTGAGATGAAACCCACGCTGAATGCAGCTGGCGTTACCTTTCCGCTCTTGACATTTTCCGAGCAGGTGCGAATGTACATAGGCATTGCCATGACAACCTCCAGCCAGGCCTGAACGGTGCCAGCCCTCCACTGAGACATGGGCGTCATCCTGGCCAGCTCCACTTGCTGGAGGCGATCCAGCTGGTCCTCTGACCCGTCTGACAGGCTGAGGCGGGTGGAACTGTAGAGGCTGTCTGAGTCTGGGTGGGTGAGGGGATGAAGTTCAGATGGGTGATGTGGGTGAAGTTTTTGAGTGGAGACAGGGGTGGCAGTGAGTTTTGAGAGCAATGATAAGAGCAAAAGCGTTAATGCACCACAACAATCAGAGCTTCAATGTAAAAAAGATGAGCCCATTGGGAGGGAAATCATTTTCTTTCATTCCATGAAATTACAGCTATATTACTGGAGACAAGGATGCAACTTTTTGTTAACAAGCTCCTCACTTAAAGAGTCCATTAACTGGAGCATCTGCTTGAGCTTTTAAAATAACATGACTCATCCATATAAATAAGCCTGCAGGAACCCTACAGTTAGACGATGTGTAGAGTATTCTCATGCTTCTTATATTACATCAATGTCCTGCTGGTACCCTGAATGGATGAAAAGCTATCCCCCGCAGATTTGCAACATTTATCTGACAAAAACATTATGATAGCTCAAACATTTACATTTTATCAATAAATTATGTTTTCAGGAGACAAAAAAATAAACGCCAATGAAAGCATTTCCCTTACTCGAGCAGCAGATGGCGACATCCTCACATCTCATAATGCATCGCTTCCTTGTATTTGACGTACACAGGAAGTGGACAGCAGAAAAAATAGCCACATGACTCATGTATTACATTTGAAATCTTTGAATTATTACCATATATTTCAATACACCTATTTTGTTTGCCTCGCCCTATGAATGAACATTAGCCACAGCCATCAAGGCTAAAACAGTGAAGCTGCTGGGAGACTAATGAGCCTGGGATAAAAGCATCCATCTTTCAGCGCAGTCATAACATAATGGACAATGCAGACACTTTGTCCTTGTTGTTCTCTGCACATTCAGCATCCATTTTATTACAGTGTAAAAAACAACTAATTTATATATAGATATATATATTTTTTGTTTTGTTTTGTTTTACTATGAAATCACATTGACAAAGAAAACCCACTTAATGGAGCCTATTTAAATATATATGTGCTTGAGAGAACTAAGCCAATGAGCAAACCTGTTGGAGTTATTTGTTTACAAAAGACAATCAGAAATCTGTTACTGGATGGATGATTTGACTGAAAATACAATCGCCTCTATTTTTGCCTAAACTTAGTTTAAGAAGCCATAAGCCTTGCAGGGTTTCCTGTTCTTGGAATGATCATTTGGAATTTACTGGATTTTAAACTTTATTTGGTTAGATTAAAAACAATCTAATTGAGGACACAGCTTGTGCTAAAATGGTAGACACCATGAAACATTTAGAGGCAATTACTCCTCAGCACAGTTGTGCAGATTTTGAATGTTTGCTGAATGTTTTCCCTTTTCTCTGTCTGTCTGCTTTCCTCTCAAGTTATGGTAAATAAAGGTTCTTCACAAAATCTTAGAAAATGAAAAATACAGGTAAAATATATTGATTGAAAGCACCTCTACCACTTTCTGTTCACTTGGTTTGATAGGGAGGTTAGAACATAATCAGTCATATTTCAGAAGAGTCATCTGACTCAGATGAGGATAAAAACCTTTATCCATGGAAATAGGGTACAATTTAAAATCTTCTGAAATAAATCAACTATATGTGAGATATTATTACCATACATTAGTTTAAATAAACTAAAACCTGCAACAGAATACAGCCTATATCATTGGAAAATATGTTTTGTTTTGCATTTCCTACTGGGAAAACAAATGAGACTTCTAAGATTGTATTTGTTTTTTGTTTTTTTTCAGTAATACATTTGGTGAACCTTTGGGTTGGTGGTGGAATATAAGAATATCATGGATATGAAGTGAAAAAACAGACCTGCTAGTTATACTTTAGAGTCTATAAAATGATAGTGCCAAACAATATTTTTTTGTCCAAACCAAAACAAACAGTGGACAAAACATTGACACTACTTTTGTTTGATCTGGATAATGTGTCCTGACTGACTTTCAGTGACCTCCGATCATGCATTTAATAATATCTTTGAAAAATTATAGCAGCCCTACCACAAGTTATTTTTTCATCCTTCCTTTCTTGCCTCCTTCCTTCCTTTGTTGTTTTTTCAACTAATTTAGTTAAATTTGAGATATTTGGAGAGCGCAAGTTAACCCAGGTCACAAAAATAATAATAATAATAATAAAAATAAAAATAAAAAACTCTTAAAGAAACAAAAATAAATCTGGCTAATAAAGTAACTGGCCAATGTATATCAAAAAACTTACTTTTGCTCTCAAAAGCCTGTTTATGTTTCGTCACTCACTTTGTTTCACACATTACATCTTTTTATAATTACACTTCAACTTGAAGAAGTGCTAAGTCAGGTCAGAGTGTGACGACGTTTGAAAGTTAGAAGGTATCTTCCAACACAGTTTGCAACCCAGTGCAACTCTTTGTTGAAGCAACAAGAAATGATCTTTCCTCCAACCTCTTTGAATGGGACTGGTTGCTTCTTGGGTCGCTCCACTGTGTTGAGAGTAGGATGGGAGTTTGACGGGAAGGGGTCAGAGTTACAGGTTAGTGCCCACGTGGTACACACCATTATTGACACCATGCGCTCACACATGAGATCTGGCATGGCCTTATCTTCCCTTGGCCCTTTATTTTGACAAAACTAATGCAGCTTTGTGGGAAATGCAGGGAATGAAGAAATCAGAGGGAAAAAGAGAAAAAAAGGCCATTTGAAGGCTGCACCCTGCAGCTCCCCCACGTGAAAAACGGGACAAATCAGAAGTAACAACATACAACCACAAAACACTTAAACAACACAAACACAGGAAAAGAGAGGACAGCCACATAGAAATCATTATCATTTATTTTATTTTAAAATAATCTTATTTTTTTATTTGTTTTCTTTTTTTAGTGTAACGTCGTTGCCATGCCTTAAAAAGTCGCTACTATCTACTTCTAAATATCTCAGTTCCACACTGAGGCCTACATCTCTGACTTTAAATAAAACTCTTCAATAATAATAACAATAAGATTCATCTCATTTCTGTAATGCTGTCTCATTTACAAAAAGTAAAATATCTGTGGCAGAATAAAAACACACCGTGGCTCAGAATATGAAATCATACAATGCTGCATTTGATATGTAGTTTCTCCCATCAGCAGGTAAAAACTGATTAAATGAAAACATAAAAGTAGCCTGTGTTTTTCTATATATTATTTGATAATGAATACCTCAAGTGGTTGAATTGTTCCTATAAATACAGCCGAATATGTGATGATTTATCTTTGCATTTCCTACATATTATTTTCCGTTTTTGTCACGCCTAAATGTTTCAGAAAATCAAGCAGATGACAATGTCCAATGATATGTTATTGTCTTAAAACTCAAGTGTGCTTGAATCATGAAGCTTCACAAGGCTCCATAACTCAACTCTAGCGCACTAGCAAATCCACCTTTGAATTATATATATAAAAAAACCCAAGTGGATCTTCGAGTCAAAGTTTGGAATTAAATCTGAATTAAAGGCTTTGGTAATGATTTAGAGTAGGCTATTTAAAACCCTCCAGTGAAGCTGATTTACATACTGGTGCAAAGAAAATTGGACTAAATTCCTCCACACTGATGTAAAAGACTCTTTGCCAGTTGTTACTGGCCAGGGTGGAACAACTAGTAGCTGGTTTTAGAGGGCGGTTATTTTTTCACGCAAGGGCAGGTTGCTTTGGATAGCTTGACGAATTAAAATCATAATTTGAAACAGCATTTTACATTTACTCAGGTTTTCATATCTTATATTAAAATTCGTTTGATCATCTGAAACATTGAAATGTGACCATGTAAAAAAAAAACATAAAAAATAAAGTCTGGCAGCAAATACTTTTCCAAAGATCCTCTTTTCTCGTAAAATCTGGTTTAAAAATAGCTCCAGTGCTCCACTGTCTGGCACTGTTTTTGGGGGTTTTTGGTACAGCTAATGAACACCCGGTGATAATTTAATGTCAGGGAGAGAAGAGATTTCCAGTGGGGGCAGTGCAGACTCCAATTTGATCCAGGATGAAAAGAATCCCGTGTCTCTGGACATTCTTTGGCTTGAAGAAATGTTATTAACCTTTAACACAGAGCTAATTGCTTTTTTTTTCCCCCAATAGTAGCTTAAACTGAATAATGTTTAGTGAGCTCTGGGGGTCACCTGGAAACCAATGCTTTTACTTGATTAGTATGCTTAAGACCTAACCTCCAGAGAAGGCACTCATCACTGTTAGAGTCTTTTGTTTAATGTATGCTTCTTTTAATTATGGTTCCAGTTATTAATTAAAAACAACTTTGATTCCAGCGGTCTGCAAAAGTCTTGACCATCAGTTTTAAATCTAGCTTCTAATTTTAGACAGGCTCCTCCGCTATAATCCAATGCCAGCAGCTTTTCAGAGTATTAGCATAATGATAGCTGCGAGCAATTGCGAGATCAAGTTAAAAGAAAATGGGAGAAAAAAACATGAATGATTAAAAATAGTGTTGGTTTCTTGGCATCTTTGCTCATCTTGAAATTTCCAAATTGATTTCTACATGGAAATGTTGCCTTGGAGATGCAGAATCAGGCTAAATTGCTAAACCCTAACAGAGTAATCAAAGAAAATTAAAGGATCAAGTTTAAAAGTCAAACAGGTTACATTTGAATCTGACAAAACCATGAAAAAACATCATGAAATCAGTAACTGACCTCTCTTTTTTTTTATTAAAGTGCCTTCTTGACAACATATGCAACACAACCCTGTCAGCATGCTTGGGGGTCTGAGGTTAATGCATGCAGGTTACATGTTCAGGTGTGTGCTGTGTCTTGCATATCCCTCGAACATTTGGATATTTTGTCACATCACAGCCACAAACTTCAATGGATTTTATGTGATGGACTGACACAGAGAAGCTAAATCCATGTAGGCATTCATGGTTAATCTAAAATATCTGAATGATGTAGAAACCATTTAGCCCTCCTTACTCTGTCACCCTAGAAATGCCAATATAACCAGCTACTTAATGATTACTGGTTACCTAATTTATACATATAGTCTCTTAGAATAAGTCCAACTGATCTATCAAGGACGTTTGAAGACTCTCATGAACAAGCAGCACCATAAAGATCAAGGGTCACTGCAGGCACATCAAGCAGATTAAATCTGAGTTACATCAGAAAAAAAAAAAACCTTTTAAATTTTTTGCTTATCACAAAGCAATGTTAAACGTGCCATTAATACCTACTAAAGCACATGTCAAACTCAATGCTCAGGGGACAAATCTGACCCACCATACCTTTTTATGTGGCCCTCTAGACTCCAGAGATGTGAAATTACATCAATCAGTCCCTCTGGTTTTTAGCAATCACAGAAATTCACGCCAAATCAATAGATCCGTGATCGATGTGATGATTAACAAAGTTAACAAAGTATTTATGTTACACCGTGCAAATATTGCCAACTTCCTCATAAATATTTCTAAATTTGCTCCACATAATCAGTGATCCTGACTGCAAAAAGAATCTTCAAAATAATTGTGAGATCCCAGAAGGACTGAACAACATGAAAAGATGTTCAATATTATTTAATTTTAACTTTACTTATCAAATGCAGCAACAGCTATTTGTCAATGTCTTTGATATAAACTAGTTAAGGAGTTTTATCAATGCATTCTGGCTCATGAGAGAAGCAGCCAAGATGTCGACTTAAAACTTGGAAGGATCTACAGAGATCCACATCTCAGATGGGAAAAAAACAGAAAACTCTCAGCTGTTCACTTAACAAATCTGACCTCAAAGAAAGATGGACGAGGAGAAAGACATTGTGAAAAGACAGTATTGAGCCAATTTTACATCAACTCGATCTGCCCTCGATTCTATTTTGCGAGCTCTCAGTTAGTCTTGTAGAGCATAATCTCTGGGCTGGTGAAAACAGAATGTAACGTTTTGGCCTAACCCCATGATAAAACATATTGGTGGCAGTATAATGATTTGTGGGAAGCTGATTAGAGTTGGAGCAATCCTGGAGTAAAAATCTGCTACAGATATAGAACAAATATACAACCAGAGCATCGAATTCAATAATTAATTTTGCAAATATGGAGAAAAGAAAAAAATCAAGGGGTATGAATACCTCGACAAGGCACTGTACGTTCTATCTTTGCAGATAGAAATCATGTTTTTTTGTGTGTGTGTTTTTTTTGCATTTCCTGTTTGGCTTCATTATGCTGACCCCGTGCTCAGCGGCTCATTTGCAACCAGTTGGAGCCCCTGTTCAGTTTTTGTTTTCTGAGGAATCCGATAAATGATAATCGAATTGTTGTTGGAACTGAGGAGTCTGCATGTTGCCTACAGGAAACTGTTCTCATCATGGCTGTGTGAAAAAGGAGGGGAGGACCAGGCAGGACAAAAAAAAAACCCAAAACAAAACAAAAAAAAAAGAAAGAAAGGGGCTTTGAGTTGTGAGGGAAATTTGTGTCAAAATGAACAAAAGTTAATTGGAACATGGAGACATTTACAAGCACAGAGTGCACAACAACTGTTGTTATTTACAGATACAGCAGTCCTTCAAGTTTCCAGCTTTTTGAAAACAAAAAGTCAAGAAGAAGATCCAGTAACACAGCTTTAACAGAGCAAGTCAACATTGTTGCTGTGTTTCTATTTACAGAAGTGTACATACATACAGGTGCAATGTGTTCAATAAGACTTCAGCGAAGCAAGACGCGCCTCTGGCTCCTGACTTGACCTCTGACCATTGGCCTAACCACGCACGTGCACGCTGACACGCACACACACACGTACAATTATCCCCCTTCTAGTGGGGCTAAACAGGCGCATGTATTATATTATATCTATACACTCCAACACTCATCGTGGTCCAAGGTGGGTTCACTCAGAGAGCTGTGCTTTTACCAGTCTGCATCCTCTTCTATGTAATAATCGGGTGTGGAAGTACCATCAAACAAACCGGGGTCCAGAGACTTGCGCTGCTTTCCCCGGGCAAAGACACGCGACAGTGAGCCCAGACCCATCTTCTCTTTCTTCTTCTTACGCTTCGCCTCCTCCAGATCTTCTAGGGACTGCAGGAGGAACAAGAGAGGAAAAAAACTGAACTGACGACCACAGAAACGGAGCATTACAAGAGCAGAAGAGGTGCAAAAAAATACCAAGAGATCACAACAGAAAGGAGAGATGAAACTTTTCATGCTGTTGGGCATGCACCTATTTACATGATTGTTTTTTTTTTGTTTGTTTGTTTGTTTTGTAATCACCGCAAAAAATTTATATCACGTCTCCAGAGTGAGTGCACAACAGAAATGCATGGGGCAAATGAGAACTCAGCCAAAAGGACAGCGAGGGGGAAACAACAGCGGTCAGGCGGTGGAAAAGTCAGCCGTTACTACGAGAGCAGAACAGGTGATTACTTGGGAGGGCGCAGAGGCGGGCAGCTCTTACATTGCAGAGGGAGTGAGTCCGGTGACGTGGCGAGTTTATGTCGCTTGGTGTAGACGACCGTTCTCCCTCCACTGCAGAGGCGTCAGAGATGATGGAAGGCTGACGCGAGTGGATGGGGCTCACTCGCACCGCAGCCACTAAATGGGACAAGAGGGGAGAGAGGATAGGCTTACCTTTGTCTCGGGAGTTTGGGGCACCAACGGTACAAAATGAGGGGAAAAAAAAAATAAAATAAAATATGATGGACCCTCAGTATTAGCACAACACCACAGAATAAAAATTAGCTTAAAGATAAATGGAGGAAGGAAAAGAGGGTATATTTTTCTAACCAGCTGCAGTTGCCAAGCAACAGGGAAACAGCTTCACAGAGGTTTAGAGAGCGTGTGCTCGAACCAATGAGACTGATACATAAAGTACAGCCAATTGCAATGCAATTTGGAGTTCGTGACTGTCTCCACATCTTCCCTGTCTTCTTGCATTCGCCCGCGACTTCCTCCAGATGTCCCCAATTAGTTAGCAACTGGTGTGTGGAGCTACAGCTGCCATTTAAAACAATGCATTTTAAGGGTTTTGTACAGCTGCGAGGCTAATTTATGCAGCTTTTTCTCTACTTTATTGCTTTTTCCTATGCTTTTTTTTATGTCGGAAACCATTGTTTGGCAAAGATACTAGTAAAGCCTTTCCAAAAACATCAGAACTTGTGTGTAGTAACATAAGTCCTGCCTAGGAAGTATGGGGCTCCTGCCGCACTCCCCTTTAGTGGTAGCCGCGGGACGTAGGAATTCAACAGAAACTTTACTCTTACAGCAACACAGAACGTTTTGTGCTTTCACGAGACTGATGATAAAAATGCAATTAGCAATAAGCTTGAAAAGTTAAGGGAAGGAAATAAAATATCACAGTTGAGAATAGAATGTCCAGTTGTTATTTCTATTTAAGCACGGCAGTATTGAGTTAGAAAAGTAAAACATTTGCAGTTTGGGATATTTTTATTGATTATGCCAAGTAATCATTTAGATAATTGCTGTAGTATTTTTTTCCATACTGAAGCTTTCATGACAATACCGAGATTAAAATTTCTATGACAAAGAGTGACATGTGTGTCAGTGATCAAAATACTGGCAAGTCAGCGAAGATTGTCTGCATATATATTTTTGTGTATTCAGAAGTTGTCTTTTGTTTTTGTAAAAACATAATAAATGATTTATAAAAAATAAGATTTTTTTTGTTTCGTTTTGCAAATCTCTCAACACAAACTCAGTTTTACAGTGAAGAGCTCTTGACTGCATCGAGAGTGCTGCAAAAACCACTAATATATTTTCTATGTACATGATGTAGAACTGAGCTCCTCAAGAAAAAGTAATTCAAATTTTAAATGTGATTTTGCTATATCTCTAGAGACAATATCAGAAATGCCATTAAATCCCCCTTTTTTCATCTTTATTTACAAGCTAAGGATTGAGTAATGGACCTCAAAGTTTGTTTGATCTGTTCACTGATTTCTGCTTATGCAGTACTCCATATTGGCAATACTGAGGACATCTTGTTGATACAATTGAGGGTAACTTTCTCTGGCAAACAGAAACATGAAACCTGTTCCAAAGAAAGGAGTCACACTTTTGCACATGATAAATGGTTTGAAAGCTACGTGTAACCCTGCATTGATTTTCACATCAATGCAGGGTTGCATTGTGGTTCCCCAAATCTGAGTGTAACCAATGCTTTATGCAAATAACACATCTCTTAATAAGTACTCAGTTTTGTTGAGGGTCTATCTCTAGTGCAGCTTTGCTATAGTGAAATCCTCACATAGTTTGTATTTGCATTAAAGTATGACGAAGTTCTAATTATACTAGAAAACGTACTAGAAAGTGGCAATTGCATTTCAAACATGGCTTCGCCATTCGTTTTAGACTAATGCTTGGAAGTCATATGAAATCCTGTTTCTTTTTCGACTCTGACAAAGATGAAACCTGAAAAACGTCAACATAAAAATTCAAACAAGTATTCCATTTAGGACTGACCACATGCATTCAACATGCAACTTATCCTTGGCTGCCATTTCAGAGGAAATAAAGCGCATGACAAAACACAGCTGGAACATCATAATATTTAGCAGATGGTGCAATTTAATGCGTAGAGACCAGCTTCACGTGAGCATGCAGTTTGTAAGCAATGGGGCCACAATGTCAACATGTTACGAGGCAATCTGCCCTCGCGTTGGCCTACCTTGTCTGTCAGTGGGATGGCCTGTGTGGACGTAGAGGGTCTGCTGACTTTGCCTGATGGCAGCAGTCAGGGGAAGATCCGCCTGCATCACCCACTCCTGGTTGTTGCCATTGACGACCGCCTCCGTGGGCATGGCCAATGAGTGACGCTTGGGCACATCCTTTGTCAGTGTGGCTAGTGACTGTTTGGCCTTAAGGAGATAAACAGACAGACGCACATGTTCATGCTGCACAGCGTCGTTTCATCACGCTTGTTTCTGAGCGAGATGCCGCTTCCCTGGCTGCTGTTGTTTTTATTTTTGCGCCCTGTTTTACTCGCAGACATGCTATGCATCCAGAAAGCTACAACGAGTTTCCCAACGTGTTAGTGCACACAGACGTGTGAGCTTTTCTCCTGGCTCGTCATGTTGCTCTTGTATCTGGAATTATCTGTCTGTTTTCTCATTCTCTTTTTGCTGTGCAAAATCTCTCACTCCTAGGAGTGCTGACAAAGTTATTTAATAACAAAAAACAACAAAACATTAAAAAGGGGGGGGGGGGAATACTGATAAGAGGCATGAAGCATTTGTTGCTAAAAGGGTGGAAGCGGGGGGTTTGGTGTTGTGCAAAATAACTAAGGAAATGAAAAACAATTAAGTCTTTCTATAACTTTAATTAGTACATTTGCTTTGAGGCGTTTTTTTCACACACCACAATGAGCTTCTGCAGCCTTAGAAGATATGCTTTTCACCCCCAAAATATGCTCAGAAGAAAAATATATTCTTTCATTTTGTTCCCCACCAGCCTGTGTTTTCTGATTAGCTGTGGCATGTTGCTGTTTAAAAATCGCTTCAAATATTGTTATTGTTCAATTCTTATTATCATGCCGAGCACGGCATGCCACAATTCACCACCACAATCAGCTTCACCGCAATCACATCTACTTTAGTGGTAGTCAAACAATTATCAGTCACTTTCTTTTTCTTTTTTTTTGACATGCAAATCTGGATACACTCAAAAATGTTCAGCGCAATTCGGTGTCAGAATACAGATGAGTTTTATAGCATTCAGGGTGATCACTGTTCTAATCTGTGGCATTTCCCAGGTTAGGATCACTGGGGTCAGACAAGGGTGGGCTGGGGATTACATAAAAAAAAGAAAAAAAAAAAGAAACGTGCATCTGAGGTGGAATGCTTCCCAGAAAATCAAAACTGGGTGACAGGTAAGGGAGATTTCCGGGGAGAGTTGGGATCAAAACAGGTGAAATTTATTTTCAAACTGTGGGCCTGTCTTACCGCCGTGACCCTAGGAGAGCAGTCCCTGTCCACAAGCCGCTCAAACACCCGGAACTCCATTCTCTGATTGACACAGTTACTCATCTGGGGGGTTGGAGACATGAGGAATCGCTGTGTTGCAAATTTAAACAATTTTTTTTGTTTCTTTTACTCAAATGTTTTAAGTAAAACACTGTATGTGGAAGACTATACACAGCGCTGTAGCACTTCTTTAGTATTTTCTTCATGCTCTGCAATCATGTAGTACATACCTACTAACTCTATGAAATACAAATCTGTATAAGTAAAACATAATATAGTGGTAAAAGTAAGTAAATTGTTTCCATTTCTAACTCCTCTGCCATATACTGCCATATACTGCCTATAAAAAAATCAGTCTCTTGTATGGAAAAGGATTAGGGCCACTTAAAAATATGTCTGAATTTTGAGAAAAAGGTCAGAAATCTCAGATTAAAGTCTAATTTTTTTTCTTCCTTTTTCAGTGGCCCTAATCCTCTTCCATACCTCTTAGCATGGACTGGTGTAAGATTTCAGAAAATGAATTACAGCAAAACTAAACAACATGACCTTACTGTGACTAACATATTGCTAATTACATGAATAACATAAACAGTTTTCATTGTCTATTTAAAGAGATAAACAGACATAATCATATAAAAATAAGCATTTGATTCTGTTAAGTGAAAGAAAGGTGTCATAGCCTTGTTTTAGTAGGCGGCGTACAGCAGCAGGTTGGGGAGGGACAGCAATGTGTTTTTTTTTCTTGGTAAATCCTAAGCCCCTTCTCGACTTCACATTGAAATCATGGAATAATTTGTTTTCATTTCATGGATACGGGCAAAAAAAGCTACTAACAGAAGCTACAGAGCTAAGAGTTTAAGTTCCTATTAATTACACTGAAATATTAACAAGGCTTCTCAGGCAATTTTATGAGTCTAAAGTCAAGTCAATTTATAAATTCAGCCGTGGAAGAGTGTAGTAGGAAAAAAAAGTGTCTAATTTGGCAAAGCTAACTAGAATCTGGCTTTATCAGAAAAGTCTAAATACAAACAATATTTCTGCATCTTATAGCAAGACATGACTATGTTCTCTAGAAAAACCGAGTAAAATAAACATTTTTTTTTTTATTTTAACTTTTTGTATTTAGCTTGTCACTCCACTATAGATTTCACTGCCTGATCCCGAATGCCTCTTTCTGTTAAACAAGCCCCCCCATGTCTGACTTACCATGGCGAGTTCAGCCTCCAGCTCCTTGATGCGGTTCTCCTTGAGGTCTAGCTGGGAGCGCAGCATCCCTGTGTGCTCCGTGGCCTCCTTGGTCTGCCGTCTCAGATCCCACTTCTCCCTCTCCAGGAGGTCTTTCTCCTTGGCCAGAGCCTTCACTGCATCCTCGCTCTCCTAGCAGACACACATATCCTGATGGATTGGTTCACATATAAAGCCCTACCGCATGACTTCGATGTGGGAAAAAGCAACTAGAATTGTCTTGTCGCGCTACACGTTTAACTGTATTTACTGGGCAAAATAACAGAAATAAGATATTTTTATTCACAATCAAATATTCACAATCAGAGTAATGACTCTGATTTAACTGTCAACGCTTCACAGATGCAGATGATATTGATCATCTTTACCTATGAGGTGTTTTTGTGCAATGCCAAGCCAATGAGCACAACAGCAAAAGTTCCAGGCATGTACGTTTGTCAACCAAATGCGCCATGAGCATGCCATACTTTCCTGTGCTGCTCGTAGTTGCGTATGAAGTCCCGAAGCTGCTCCTCCCGGCTCTCTAGTGTGGCATAAAGCTGCTGCATCTGGTTCACCAAGTCGGCCTTCTCCGCCTTGAGACGTTTGCGGTCCGACTTCATGGCTGTGTTAAATAAAGAATAGAGAAAAAGAGAGAGAGAGAAATATGGAAAAAAGTGACTGTGGGTTGTGAGGGAACACTGAAGATTTTTAGAAAGATTTTGTTTTTGCGCCGTCCACCGTTTACATTTTATAAATGGTTACAAGGTGCTATAGTAAAGACATTTTAAAATCATTCACATTTATGTGAGATGCTTTTATTGTGTTAGCCAAATCACTTTTTTCCTACTGCCCTCATCTAAGGAACAGCTACTAATGTCCCCTGGTAACTTCATTCTGATGAAGTTCAGTAAATGTGAAATACTTTCCTAGTCCTATGAGATTCTGCCCCATTACCCCTGATGGGTTCTAAATGGGGATAGGTCTAAATCCTGGAGCTTCATTTCTAAGGTCCGGCCATCCAACAGAACTTTATACTTTACTCATATTTTGTGATACCAGGTGAGGGTCAGACCATAGGGAGACTACTAAGATGAGAGTTTTGCTGTTTATCTTCACTCTATCTTTTTCAGAATGGACCAGAGCAACACCCACATCCATCTATTCATCTCTTGCTCCATCCTGTCATCCCTAGAGAACAACACAGCAAGACGCTTTAACTCCTCTGCAGAGAGAAAGACTGACTCCGTGGTCAAAAGGAAGCTGCCAACATTTTCCTGTTAAGAACAACATGAGAACTGAGCAAGTTTATTAAATATCTGTGAAAGATTTCTTTGTTCTTTTCGCTGAACTTGCTGGGTTGATTTTAAGGAGCTCACTATATTTTCAATCAGTTGGTTTTAATTTAATAAAATTCTGTTTTTTTCATTATGAAAAGATTGAAACAAATCTTTATTCCTGTTTATTCCTGTTTTAATTATTTATTTAGAATTATTTAGAACCTGAAGCTCCATCAGATATGAAATGTTGGTGAAAACCTGCCTCTGGTCCAACATGGCCGCACCTCGATAAAGAGGAGAATCGCGCAAAAGCTCTTGTGTCAATCTGTCCTTCTGCTGCTGACTTTGGAAGAGACTGGGATCTGCAATTCATCTCTCTCCCTCTGCCACACGCATACTGTAATCCTCTGGCACCGCACCCACGCACAGTCATAAAAAATTACAGTTCGCAGTGGTTATTCAGAGAAGTGCTAATTTTCTCAAAGACTACATCTCCTTCGTCTCTCCTCCGCATCGCTCTCTGTTCCTGCTTTCTCTTGATCTGCCTCCTAGCACACAGCTGTTTAGCCAGACAGTTAAAATGTATTTCCTGGCAGACAACGACCATATTTGACCAATTTATAGCTTTAGTGTAAGTTTTGTATTTCATCTTCACTTGAAGTATGGTGGTAGAATTTTATATTTTATAACATTACAATTTTTTTTCCCCCTTTCAATGGTTACCTCTTTTTTATTATTCTCCAACAAGACAGCTCTGAGTAAATAACTACATCAAAGGCTAAATATGAAATGGTACAGAGAAGTTTTGCTTTAGAAACTTAAGCAAAGCGGAAGAGCAGCCTTTCCAAGTGGATTTCTTTCCTTCCAACCCTTTCATATCTCTCTCTAACACTCAGTCGAAATGGCGGAATCCAGCACTACAAACAGACCACACTAGCTGGCAAATGAAGACAAAACCCATCCCTCACTGACCAAGAGAAACAGGAAACCTCACAGCACCTGCCTCGGGGAAATGAAATGAAAGCTGTCTTTGGGACGAGCCAAAAACTCCGCCGCTGCCGCTCCACATCCTGCACCTGTGACGGCTTGGCAGCGACGACGCTCCTGGTGTTGGATGCAAGAAAGCACTCAGTGTGACTCTGTGAATGGATCCATTCACTGCTGCATATCAAACAACTATTAGATACCAATTAAAATCTATCAATAAACACTTTTTTGTGTGTGCTCTGTTTGTCCCGGAGCTCAGTCCTGTTGACTAACATTTATTAACAGGGGAGAGATGCAGAAGCTTGTGCACGTCTCTTCTCTCTAACAGTCATAATTATGGCTAGCATGCACTGCAGTCGGTCCAACTCTTACAACAACAAGTTGTGGCTGAACTTAATGTGTCTGGACGTAGAAGGCGACTGCAAAGTGAGTAGGAAGCAGAAAGAAGAGAGATGTGCACCCGCTGACTTTTTTCTGTATACAAAGGACGACCCCGGTTTGGTTTTGGTCAACAGGCAAAATACTTGATTTGACAGAAAACTAACCCTTGAGTGTAATTACCAGCTGAAGCATGGTGGTAGCAGCATTATGCTGTGGAAATGCTTTTCTTTCAGGACGAACAAGGAAGCAGGTCAATAAGGATGGATGGAAGTAAATAATAAATGATGTTGAAAGAAAACAAGCCTGAGTGCTTTTTTTGTGAGCAGAATAGATCAATGTTTGTACAACAAACAATATCTTAAATTTATGAGCAGAACTAATGTAATTTATCTCAATAATTTTAAGATATTTAATCAGCCTCCTCGATGGAGCAGAATATTCCAAGTTTAATGTAAATAAACACAAAATAATCTGCTTTGTTATTATTTGGGATTCTTTCTCAAAAATGTCAACACCAGGTTTTCTGCAAAACAGCACACTAGCATCAAAGCAGAAAACTACTCTCACCTAAAAGTAGTAGAGTTTACAGCTCTTGCAAAATACCTCTCTCCAAAGTTTACCTGTTTCCATTATTCAGTGTTAACAAATACACTGAGCTGTATCATGCTCTTCTGACCCACTCTTCAAAATCTGCATAAGTGGTTATCAGCTCGCCGCACAAAGGCTCTTCTGCTACCAAAACCAAAGTGCTTTGCCGTATTTTAATGTGAGACTCTAGTAGTCTAGTGCTCTAAAGGCTTTTGTCCACCGTGCTTCTGCATGGTGCTTCCCTGCTGGAGGACTTAATAAATGAGCCCACTCATTAGCTTCTGCACTGAAGAAGTGGCTTTGTCAGTCTGTATTAGTTTTAAAACTTAGTTCAATCTGTGGTTTTCAACATTTTTATGTCTTCGTACAATTAAACTTTCTCCATTGATGTTAAGGGAGATTTCATTTTCATTTGAATAAATAAATCATACGCGACTTATTGAGACAAATAAATGATAATCTAAAAGATCAAATGAAGTATGACACATACATTGTCACATTCTTCCCTTTTCAACGAGCATCCATTGAATATTTGTATGACCATGGTTGCATAATATTTGTATGAACCAAAAGGTGTTAAATGGTATTTAGTCTGAGAGAGAGAAAAAAATCTATTTGATGAATGCTTATTTCATGAGGAAGCAAATCACCTCCTCTTTGCATATTCACACAGTCTGTACCAACAGCAACAACATGATATCCTTTTCACATCCCACTCACTGCTTCGCTATGATTCAATGATGGGGTTCATTAGCATGTGTTCCCTATCGATTAGCGTGCAAATGAAACACAATTTGAGCCATTATTTTAACAAAAAATGTTCCTGCCATTCAGTTAATTTCAGCACCCATTTTACTTACATTATGTATCAGTTAATAGTTATCACATTAAACAAAAAAAGAACAACAATATTGAATCAAAGTACGTTATGTCTTAAATGAAATCATAGGGGCCATGTTTATTGGCATCTCGAAAATTTAATAAAAATTTAACATGGGACAAATGGGAGGATTTAAATGATCTGAAGTTCCTCTTAGTGAACTTTGACCCTCAGTTCCATCCAGAGACATTTCGCTGGACATGTGCTGTACTTTCGCTTTTAAGCTCTTTCTTGCAAACCACTTAAAGGTTTCGTGGCTGTGTATGTCACGATCACGTTCATTATTAATTCATCATCAGATTCTGATCTGATCATCATTAATGCCTTGGTAAAATTCACCTTTTATTCTTCCTTCAATTATATGTGAACTGTCAGTACCATATGCTGTGAAATATTCCTCTCCATGACATTCCCACCAACAGGCCTTATTGTTGGCATGTTTTTCTTTTCAGCTGATTTGTGGAAAATATGTTCCTCCAAATGAGACGAGTGTATCGATATCCAAAGAGTTCAGCTTTGGCGTTAAACAAGTTTCAACATGTTTGTTCTTCAGCAGTGGGGTCTTGTTCAGTGAGTGTGCACAGCAGCCACTGCCTTTGGATGCATTTTTGTTTTCATTAGATAAACTTTATATGTAACTTCCAGGTCTGAGGCTCTTTGTGAGACCTTCATGCCTCCAGTTTATGGTAAAATTATATTTGTTTGACTCCATACACTGGTTCAAACTGCGTTCACTGGCACATTCACTTAAAGCTGCGTTAAATGCATTTTCTTTTTTTCAATGCAATTTTGTTGTTGTGTTACCAATTGGAAAACTCTGTGCAGTAATATTTCTACATCTTTATATAAAATCAGCTGATATTGAAGACATTTTGCAAATGCTTACATTTGCAAAAGTTAGCAAATGTAAAGTTTGATGACTGTGTCTTCTTGAGCATCGTTTTCTTCATCTCGACAACAATATTGGGCAGAAAGAGTTTGTCAGATGTAAAATCAGATGGGAAAATGGGGTTATGTGAAGTAATTAAAGCACAGATGGAGATAAAAGTGGCAGCAGAGATAAAACCTTTTTTCTTAAGGTTAGATAGTTTGACAAGCAGATTAGCCTGAAATAAAACCTGGATTTTTCCAAAATGTTCATCTTGTGTGTATGATGCTGCCCTATTAGACTTTTATATATTTTTAGCACAACTTTTTCAAAGGCGTCCACAAATGTTGATGGCAGGAAAGTGTATAAACAGCAGTGAAATTTGAACCTGTACTTCAACATAGACCTTTGTAATTATATGGTCAGGTCATCATAGTAGATCCAAAAGACAGTGATAAAATGTCCTTCGAAAGTTAATGAGAATGCACTCCATACTGATAGTACTCCATAAAACTTTGGTTCTAAAGAAAAGCAAGAGGCTTTAACTCAAACTTTAACATAATTATTTCTGGTGAGAACAAAGGAGAGAGAAGTCCATTGAATGTGGTTTGGGGTTTTAAATCTGCCCACTGAATACTGAA